TGCTTCTTCTCTCATTTTGTTTCGTTTCGTTTTTCATTACAATTTTTTTCGCTACTAACTATTTTTTGTTTCGTTCGACTTACTTCGTGTGTAGAATTTTTCGGTGTATTTGTAGATGTATGGTTATCAAACTAAAGTATACGAGATATTCACAATACATTTTTGTAGAGAGCCAACGAAAGTGACGTGAATGAATACAATGACGCTGTTTATTTAAGTAGTTGCCAGTTTTTGCCAGCTATTCTCGGTATGTTTGTGTGGCTCGTTTAAAATAATTTTGCGTTTGTTTTTTTTTTTATTCCTTTCATAAATTTAAAACTCGATGCACATCAAACCATGTCGTTCTGTTGAATTTGAGATTTCACCATGGAAAAAATATTCCAAGCAAGTTGAGCTAGAATAAGGGAGAAATTTAAAGAACATTTCGAAAAATTTAATTGTAGTAGGTATCCTATTAAATGGTCCTTCTTTTTATTTTATTTTATAAATGCTCGTTCTCATCATTTGCATCGAAATGTTTTGTCAATATGCTTCGTCCAGAATTGCTGAAGATTTGATATATGTATTCATAGGTCGAATGATAATCATTCGACTCGAATGTGTTTTTGACCGACCAATTAGTCATTTCCTATTTCAAGTTTTTATGTAACAGATATCATTAAGGTGGTAGTTGCACTTTTTCTTCAGCTGCAAATCGAAATTTTCAATGAACATTTTTCACAATGCAAGGGGAAAAAAACACCACTGTTCATCTCTTTTCCAATTGAACGCTCAATTGTTGACAATCGAATTTGACCTTGTCAAATTCATTCATACGTAATAATGAAAAAGGTTTTGAATCTATGAACATTGATATTTTCGTGCAAATTTTCGTTTGAAATTTCATTGACATTCATTTTTGTTCATTAATTTTTCATTACAATGAGACGTTCATTAATTGTTTTCGCCCTTGTCATTGAATTTCCACTGTATTTTCATGATTTTCCCTCATTTTTTCTACTTCTGCTTCATTTTTTTTTGGTGTGTCAACTATTTTTTTTGTTGTTGCTGTTGTTTGTTTCCATTTAGACTTGTCTAAGCCACACATACATACACACACAAGCGCTACCATTTCAGGAGTCTGAAGTTTGGATAAATAAAATATATTGTGAGCATTGTTACTGCTACTGGCACATTATTTATTGCTGATTTATTTCGTATAATCATCATAATCAGCCCCAGCAGCTCATATGCACTTCGAAATGAATCGAGGCGAGTCTAGGCGATGCTATGCGAATGTGTTTCATCTCTTTCCCTCACACACACAAACACACACACACACACACACACTGGTGTGCACATTGCTTGATCCTGTGTGATTACAACGCAATAAATCGCAGCTATATTTACATATATGCTTATTAATAAAAGGCTGACATGCAACAATGCAACTCATTATCACTGACGGAGTTAGAACGGTGGCGACGACAACGACGACGACGATGGCGAGAATGCCAGAGCACAACACACGTACTACATCATATACAATTTTGCCCATCGTCGAACATTGGTCTGGTCGGGGTCTAGTCTGATACGATGCAACACAGAATAAAAAATAAAATACTACATCAACAAGCAACGACAAATCGTCATGATGAAAACAATAAACCAAATCGACGACTGAATGGAAAGATACAAACCGTCGTTTCTTCTCTTTATTTTTATTTTTTTTTTTTTTTTTGTTCCTTCTTTGCAATATTTTGTGTTCGTTTTTTCAGTGTGAGTGTGTATGTGCGCATTTTTTTCCAAATGTGTATGACTACGGCATTGCATCGCTTATTAAACTGATCTGAAAAGTCTACAAATATCCAACAAATAATTCGTAACGCTGAACAGGAATAAAAATGAAAATTCAGCAAAAAAATTTTTTTTGTGAATCGAATTGTGTACATCCGACAGAATCGCAAACGCACAAGTGAACACGGTTTATTGCATTCTGTGATCAAACACTTGAAAATAATGAAACTGATGGAAAATCTTCAATTTGTGCATTGTTTAGCAATGGAAGCAGCAACAACAAAAAAAACGGTTGATTTGCAGATTATTATGAATGAAAAAAGTTCCTCCGAAATTTGAATATTAAATTTTTATTACTTTTGCAAATGGTTTATTTTGAACATTACTTCGTCCTTCAAAGGATTTTTTTGTTACGATTTACATAGAAACTTTATGTAATGCTAGATATAAAGAACGCATAGACAAAAAATGAATAGACAATTTGGACAAAATACTGAATATTATAGACAGTATAATAGAGCTTTTAATACGATTGCGATTTGTTCATGGGAATCACTGATGTTTTATATTATTCAAAAGAAACTACGTATATTCATCGACTCGTATCAATACATATTGAAGATAACAAATGGTTTTTAACGCATAGATTAATCAAAAGTGAAGACAAGTCAATAAGATTTTCCACATATTACTATATTTTGTGTTTAATGAGAATCTGACAAGTAGGACAGAATTTCCACAAAATATAAACGAAATGATAGACCAATATCGAAAGCAAACTCTTTTCCAGAAGAGCTCTATTACTAGTTTCACTCGAACAAAATACAATGAATAATCTGCAAATAAAAACATTACATTCAGTCTCACTGATTTCAACGGTCTATCTTGCACTGGATTCTGTTATCTTGGTCGCCCAAAAGTGAAAAAAAAAACTCAAACGAAGGAAAACAAAGAAGCACGTGTAAATCAAAAAATTTTACATTAAAATTTATTGTAAACATTGTTTATGTTTTTGTTGTGGATTCGTGAACTGAGTGGATGCCATACGGTATGGATGGTTCAGTGTTCGCAATAATTTATCTTCATTTGACAGGACACTGCTACAAATTGAAGTACTCTCACATTAGAGTCACTACAACACTCTACGTGCCGCATGAAGTGGCCCAAATACGCGAGAAGAGAATGAAAACGTTGAAACTAAAATCAGAGCAGGGCAAATTGTACACAGATCGGGACATTTTATTGTCTATTTACTAGAAAGAGAAATAAAAAGTGGAAAAAATCGCAGCAAATCGAAAAATATTCCAAATGGTCGCGACAAAGATGCAAATCCTTAAACTTTATTCATAAGACCCAAGTGGCTAGAAAAAAAAAACAACCACAAGAATTATGTGTGGCAAGCGCACGTATATTGTATCCCTTAGCATGGAATCAGTACACACCCATACGCATTTTGTTGAATCCATGAAACATTTCTCTCCCCATTTCAACTCCGGTTTGTGGAAGAAAAAATGTAACTCTCGCTTTTAGTCTGAATGAAAACAATTTGATGTATGTTTTGTACAAACCGTGAACATTTTGACATATAAATAAGTTAAATTATTTGTTAGACGATCTGAGAGCAATTCCATCAGTTTTGCTCATTTATGTTTCAGAACGTCTAAATACGATTTTTTTTTTGCTTAGATGACAATTTCAACTTTTATTTTTGACTTATCAAACGTTAATAATAAAGCCTGATATTAACGGTCAATTTTTTTTTACCAAAAAATTTACTCATCATCGACTCCTATGGGATGTACTATAGTGCAAATGCATATGGATGGCTCCTCTTTATTTGAGCGCTCTACAAAAGTGAGATGGCTCATTTACTCCCAGCTAGCACGAATTAAGTGCAAAATTCAGCATTGCATGAGCTACCCTGCCATCGATACATTTTGACTCGTACGTACTCGCTCTATACAATTAACGTGGGGAAACCCTAATTTGCCAAGAATATTGCGAAAAAGGCAGTGAAAAACTAGAATATTGCCTTGGGAAATTTGCCCAATTAACATCATATAATGATGTGCTTCTTAAACATCAACATCAACAAAAGTAATTGAATTGAAACGGGACAGTTTCCAACTAAAATGTCAAACGTCACTGACCGATTTGATTCTTCAATATGAAAAAAAAATAATTATTTCATCGAATGCAACAAGTCTCAAAAAGTAGATTGCTTCTCCATATTCTTACCTTACAATTGATTAAATTGTTTCTTTGTGGCGAACTTTTTCCCAAGTTTTTGTTTTGATTTCGAGAATTAGTTGAATTCGGTGGTAGCAATTTGAATTTATTTAGTTTGGAAATTATGAATTCACTGGAAAGAATGAAGAAAGGTAGGCGGAAATCAACGAAATAATTCCTTTATTCATGGATTATGTAGTGTGAGGCTGCTGCTGCATAGCTTGTACCATTTTGTGCCGCATGTTGAATAGGAATACAGTAAATTTAATTTGCCTAATTGAATCTCTGTTTATTTTCGATTATTATGAATGAGACACTTCAGCAAAAGTTACCGGGGTCGATGCAAAATGTGAGAATAATGAAGAATAAGACACCTGTTTGATGACTCTAAATGTTGCACACCACTTACTAACGTTCAAACCTTCGCTTCATTTCATATTCCACCGCTCCGCTCCGCTCCACTCACTGTTTTCGATTTCGAAAACAACATTATGTCTGCGTATTCGTCTCCCGTATATAACACACCGAAATGTGTACGAGAAACAATGTGGAGGGGGCAACGAAAACTCGGACGAAATGTAAAAGCGGCACAAATGGAAGGCAACATGATTAATTACGGTCAAGTTGAAAATAAATTTTCCAAAATTTAATGCACTGTCGAATGAACGTTGTTCCACTACGCGCTTTCGATGAACTGAAATTATATGTACCGAACTCTACTTGGTCTTCTTTTAAACGACGACTCACCTTTTCTCCAAACGCAAACGACGCGTGACTTACATGTTTGCCCATCTATAGCGATGAAAACTTACCACTGCGATGAATTTTCGCTTTCATTTCAATGATGTGACTTAGTAAATGTCAAAAGTGTATTAATTCTGCTTCAAATTGACTAAAAACGCAAAGATTACTCCGTGCTCGATTTACTTAAAATTGTTCCGTGCAATTTGCCGTACTTTAAAGTTCTCCGAAATGATTAAAAACATCATTGGGTGTATGCTTGGCCAAAATCAATTTTTATTCGTTCCATTTGAGAGATTTTAACACAAATCGAATTTACAAAGTGGTTTTTCTTATACAATTGTCAGTAAAAATCAAGTAAAAATTCAAATGAAACATGTTAATTCTTGTTGCAATGATAAAAAATATATTTATATATAGTTTGATAAAATTGAATTATTTGTATTGTTTCCATTTGTATGTCTATTCGTTTACTTTTATTAATATTTTCAAGCGAATTTCCATCATCAAAAATTGACTCTGTTCTAAGCGGGTTTTAAATCGTAAAAAATCGTTCTTTATTTTTGGACAATGGACATAGAACTAGCTCTTGCTTTTGTGGTGTGGTTGTTATGTTAATGTCGAATTAAAACCGAATGATAAATGAAAACAAAGAAAAAAAAACACAAAAATGTTCGAATCTTTGCAGGGGTTATTTTATAAATATCATAACTTTTAAATATATAATTTTTGTTGTTGTTTTGTTTTGCTTAAATTATATGAATTTGTTGGCGTCAGTGATTGCGTACATGGTGTGTGCAATATCAAAGGAATAAATGTGACATGTCGTCATTGCTGCAACTATTGTTAGTATTTTTGTGAATTTTTGTTTTTCTAATCGATGTAGTTAGTTTCGATTGATTAGATCTAGGATGATGTCAATGTTACGATGTCACAATATGGAAGTGGCTTATTTTTTGTTCTTCTTGCCGAGCGTCAGTGTGTGATGGGATGTAGCCATTTGGGTTTTGCGGCGATTGAATTCCATAAATTCCTCTTCCAACTTTTTACGCGCCTCTTCGAGCTTTCTCTTCTCGTCGGCATGGTCCTTCTTCAATTTATCGAATTTGGCATGCAACTGAAATATTAAGTACACACACACACACACACACACCAAGAAAAATAACAATGAGAATGACAAACTTGATTTGAACTCGAAAAAAATAAATAAATTGTAATCATGTTCATACATCTTTTTCGCTCTCTTTCAATTCGGCCTCTTTCTCCTTTACACGAAGAACAAACATTTGCCGCATCTCATCCTCTTTACTCTGCAATTCAGCCAAATGGTTCGAACGTTTTGCTTCGAATGTTTGCTGAAATGATACCTGCAAAAATACGCACAGTTAATTATACCTAAATCCAAGACACAATTGACCAAAGCGGCAGAAAAAAGAATCGCACTCACTGGCTTGTTATCGCTGTCAACATCAGTGAATCCCATTTGTTCCAGGCGCTTTTGACGATACAATTCATAGTGTCTGGTGTGAGTCTTCTCGCGCATATCTTCCATGTTTGTGCGAATGAGCATTTCGCGAAGCTTAACGAAATCGCAATGGTTCTCATTTTCAACTGGATTGATGAATAAAAAAAATGAAAGAGAATTTTCGTGTGTGAGAATCGTATGGATTGTGCACAAGAGAGGCGTACACGTACAACGGTGACCGTATGTACGCATGCTATTGTTGATTAACCTACCTTGCACGGTACCCCATGGGTATTGGCGCGCACGAACCGTTTTATTGCCCATGCGGACGAAATCAGTGCTGCCGACAACGGCGAATGGAACATGGCTGTTCATCGATGTGTTGACCTCGGAAACGGATTCATCGTTCGTTGGAAATTGATAAATATGAACGCCATTCGATGATAGTTCCTGAATAATTTTCGATTTGAATCGTTGCAGTTCGGTCTTTGAAATGGTGTCAGCCTTTGCAATGATTGGGATGATATTGACTTTGGTATCGAGTTTTTTCATGCACACCAAATCAAGTGATTTGAGCCCATGACCAGTTGGACAAATAAAATACAAGCACACATGAATTCGGCTGTCATGGCATGTGGATAGAGCGCGTTTGATTTTCAATTCTTCTTGCAAATATGATTCGAATTGGGCATCAATGTAGTCGACGACGGCTTTGAACGAATCGTCTTTATTGATTTGATCGCCGTAGCCAACGGTATCGCAAATGGTTAACTTCAATCGTACACTGCTCTCTTGCAGCTCGTATGTGTGCGACTTGAGCTTAACATTTGGTAAAGTATGAGGACTTGGTGTTGATTCGAAACTCGTATTGAATAATGTATCCATCAATGTCGATTTTCCTAAACCAGTTTCCCCTAGAAGATAAATATAAACATTGTCTTTTGTAAAAAAAACCAACTGCCGCATTGTTTGCCATCTTTGTAATTTCCTTACCAATGCACATGATATTGAACACAAATCCATTTTGAACGCTTTTGTTCACCAATTGATCCGGCAAACTATCGAAACCCACATGACCAGCTAATTTCAATGTTCTGAGTGTCAAATCAGGCTACAAATTTGAAAAAAATTAAAAAAACAAAAACAAAAAAGAAATTGTTGGATTAGAAAAACTGAAAATCGAAATCAAAATGTTAAGTGAGTGTGAATGCATGAAACTAGTTCTAGATTCCATTTGTTGCCTTCTTCTTTTTCAGTAGAAGCATTTCGTTAATTTAACTAATTCAAACAATGTCGCGCGTTTAGAAAGCAGTGCTTTCATTGTTATTCAAAAAGTGCTTCTGCTGCTTGTGATCAATGGTACGTGGAAAAACGATATGTGCAAAGCAAACATTTTCTCCTGACCGTTCTCTGTTATTTTCTTATTTATTTTGTTCTACTTTGTACATTCGCTGGTTGTGCCCATGAATATCAATTAAAATCGGCATAATTCAATTAATATTTACTCAAATTACGATGGCAAATAAAGTAATCAAGCAGAAACAAAGAGAAACATACAGCAATTGACTGTCATAGTTTGAAGCACACACTTGAATCATTTGAGACGTTGGTTTGACGAATTGCATTCAATTACCTCGGTATGTAATGATCATAGTCAACCAATTTCGTAGACATAAAGAGAATCTCGACTTTTCTTTTTTCCATTTTGCTTTTAAAGCAATTTTAGAACGTCATCGCGTGTATGTGTAGCAACAAGTAATGACAGACTTGCAAAGTCTCTTTTTGTTTCAATTTTGTTTCTTTTATAAATATTTGGCAATCATTAAAAAATTTACCCTTGTCAGCGCAATACAATTCAATAGAATAAACTGGACTGAATGAAAACAGAGTTAGTTGTATTGATTTACAAAGAGATATGCCGGCAGACGCTTTCTTTTTTTCAAAATACATTTTGTGCATTGGCTATTGAACGATTTCTCTCCGCCCGAAACGACAAATTGAAGCGAAAACATTTATTTAGAACCATAATTAGTTCCGTTGGACATGGACAACACTTTTCTCAATTACATTTTACTTGTATTCTTCTTCCGACGAATGCGCTGATACAATCATAACATAAATATGGATACTTGGAATGCAAACACTACAAACATGCACGCATGTAAGAAGCAAAATGCGTGAATACGTGACATTGAAATTGTTTGTGTGACTTATTGTTTTCATGTTGTGTTTTTTTTTTCTCTTCATTCGTTTCTTTTCAATGTAGCAAATCTGCGTCTGTTCTGTCGACGGAATGTTACGAGAAAAAAAAAACATTTTTAGACAAATTTCAAACGAGTGTCGTTGAATAAGTCGAACTGTTCTGGATTTGATACATATGTTAGTAAATAAATGGCTATTCAAAGCAATCGGAAGCGTAGTGCATTGTCAACAACGAGTAAACAACGCCCTAATCATAATGCATTGAGAAACAGATGAGCTAATGAAATGAGCTCTGCCAAGCTCTACAATGTAGGAACTTGTTTCTGTGCTCGATTTTGTCTTACATTTCAATATGGGCTTCGGCAAATATCCAAAGTACATAGTTCCAAATGAGCTATTCGCAATTAACTGAAACATTACCCAAAATATGCATTGTATAAAGAGAAGGATAAAGAATTTGAATATCTAATAGTCTAGAGCATAATTTTTATGTGCTCAGTGCAAACCAACTCTCTGAATGAATCAACTAATCGTGGCTGTTTATCGAAATACGAAATATTTCTTTGAACAGAAAAAATATTCTAGATAAAAGCTGATTTCTTTGATATACAACTGAACAGAAAAAATTATGATACATACTTTTGGCATTTGTTCAACATCAACGGCCGCCATGATTCTGAGTATATTTTTCCTTCTTTAAATGTATGCGAGCAATAGAACAAAATCAATGCAAACAACACTGAAATTTCCAAAGAATCACCACTATTTTTCTGACAGAAAGCAAATAAAACCAACACACAAAATGTTCGTTTTTGTTATTTCAGAGACTGAAAAAAATTCACTGAACTGATTAGGCTTTTGTTTTGCACTATTCGTTGAGTCGTTTTTTTTTTCTCTTCTGTTTCGTTCAAAATTGATTGTTTGTTAATTTAGCGTTTACATCAAAACTTCACCAGCAAAAAGTCAAAACTTGAATAAAAGCAATTGTGTGTTGCTGCTGTCGGTTTTGTTGGCGCGCCTGTGCGTACGCTCTGTGTGTTATACTCTTACTCATTCCAGTGGTGTGCGGTCCAGTTGTAGTCGTTGCCGTGTATCTGTGTATGTGTTTGTGTATAGCAATATGGTTTTGCCAACGTAGATGTGTGCATGTGTGCCGAGTGAGGTCTCTTTTCATATAGGAACATTTGGTACGGTTGTCATTTGTATTGTAACGAAAGAAACACATGTGTGTGTATGTGCGTTTTATGATAGCGGTGGTATGAGACAGACGAGAAACAATGTTTAAACGAGAAATCGTTTAAATTCTTTTTTTGGTTAAAAATAGTTAATGCAACACGCATGCAATGTATGGTAGTTGGCGTGTATTTTAGAAACAGATCCACACTTGATTAATCATTTTCGATTTCTCTCTGCACTAACGAAAAAGAAAAAGAAAAAGTAAATTGGATATTCGTGGCAATTTGAAAAACTGCGGTCTGGGGTTACACGATGCGATTTCTGCTTACGAACGGCCAATTATGTCACTTTTTGTTTGCCTATGGTCATTCTTTCGGCATTCGAACCATATGATTTTTCCCTTTCGTTCTCGCTTGAATGACGAAATTTTTTGCCGTTGAAATTGCAAATAATTTTTTTGAAACATTTTTGCTGCAGAGCATATATTTTTTCATCTTTCTTTGCGTCATTGGAGAAAAATTAAAACCATCAAAGCGAAAATGGTTAATTTTCCAATGAACGTATATTAATTGAAGACTTCAATTGACTGCATGTACTTCAATGACATTGTTAAAATCATAATCATAATCAAATAGTTTTCAACATTTGATGATCGTGTGCGCGCACGCAAGCGAGAGTAAATTTTAATTGTCAACATAGAAAATTGTATGGGGCAAAAAGTTGAAACTTTGTTAAAACTTGTCAATGGGTCGTCAAATGCGCCTTTTGTTCAGTCGATTTCAAATTCAGTTACAATTTACTTTGCCGCCTATTGTTCTCTCTCCCTCTCTTGCTCTCATTTTCTATTCACAATCACTTTTGGCATTGCTAATTCATGATTTGATTTCGATGTTGTGTACACAACACACTCCGTTTGTTTGTTTCCAAAAGAACCAGGTTTTGCGGTTGATAGAGAGATTCTACATATAGACTGTCTTATGTCGCGGCGTGCACTGAATACATGATGTATAGAATTTACGTACTATTTTGTTTATCATTCACTTGTCAAAATGAAAAGAATGAATGAATAAACTTTCAAAACATGTCAATTGACGACGGAAACAATGTGAATAGAAAGTTGATGTCGTCGTAGACGTTGTACACCAAAAATTCTATTTCGAAATAACGAATTTGATTATTATGCGGGCTGTCTTTTGTGTACAATTTTCGCAATATTGTTTTTATAATTTTTCTCAGTCGATTGATAAAGAGTTTATTTTCGATTAATCTAAATAAATGATTTAGTCCTTTATTACCAGACAAATCCACCACTCCGTTTGTAGTTTCACACTTTGGTTGATGTGTGGATATCTAGTGTTCTTCGGAGTGAAAATTTATTTGATTCCGATTCGGTAGTAATGGGCTGGTTTAATTGAAAAAGTGTGGGACAGTGGTGTTTACATCACAAGCACACACAACAACCGGTCATCGCAACCAATTGAATGGCAAATAAGAATAAGAAGAGAGAGAGAGAGACAGGAATCATCAGATCGGTTACATTTTTTTCTGCTTCGATGCCATTTTCATAGATCCAATCTATGGGGTGACTATCGCAAATCACATCAATATTTAATGTGAACGCATGTATGTTCACGCATTGACTCTGCCTAATGTAGTTCAAATTTCTCTCGGTATGGTGTTTGCACACAAAGTTTCGTTGCTCCCACAGTGAATACTTTGACTGATGATTTTCAACCGTTGTTCCGAAAGAGAAAACAAAAACTAGCCGAAAATGAAATCTATGGATAAAAGATATAGCCCCCTAGAGTTGACAACGGCTATACAAATAAATAAAAGCACATACGCACACAAAAAGTACCAGAACATTTTTCGATTTCAATTCTCTATCTCTCGTTTCTTCGTCCAAAATCGTTGTAATCTTTTTACTGCATTAACTGCTTTCTCACCGGCACATAATGTTGTAATATCATGACACACAAACCATTACTGGGGCGGATATATGTTTGCTTATTCTATTCTTGTTTTTCCATTGGAAATTGGTCTCGGTTTTTATTGCACGGATCTATACCATCTTCTTGGCCAACGGAATATCTTGTCTTTTTTTTTATTGTATATCGAATGATGCTTCAACATGCGAGTTAGCGATCCACTGACCGACCACATTACGTAAATGTCAACATAGAATTCTATTTTTTTTTCACATTCTATGTGGTAAACGATAAAAAAATACGAGCGTCGTTGCACAAAATAATTCCTGCAATTTATTTTTTTTGCATCTTGGGTTTCCTCCCCAATAGAAATACTATTTCTCTTTTGTATTATGATATCACCGTTCAAATTTGTTATTTCAATTATTGGGTTGAACAAAAATTCATTTGAATTTTTGTTTTTAAATCTTAGCATATGTATGTATGTATGCTATCTTACTCATCCGTTTATTTTGTTCAATAGCAAACCCTTCTAGTTCAAACAATTCTGTCATATTAATTTTTTATCTATCTCAATTGTGTAAAAAAGGAAAAATTGCAAAATTATGAACTCAAAAATGATAAATTTGTTATTTGAAACGGTTTCTTTCATTTAAAATTTAGTCGTTAAAATTAAATGAATGAATAAGCGTGATATGATTTCCATCGACTAAATTCAAAATGGAAAGACATGTGCAAAATGGAATTATTGCGTTAAAATGGTTGCTTTTGAAACTGAATTTGAAGCAGCATTTTTCGTTGAACAATAAATAAAAACACTCCGACGCTCTTAATAGAGTGCGGAATCGCATCACATATTTCTGCAAAATTGCGGAAGCAAGTAAACGATTTTCATTAAATTTCTAGTCGGTTCCTCGCTAAAATTCATTCTGTAGCAATATGAGTGCTTCCGATATTGTAAGAGTTAAAGTGTGTTTTTTGAGACCAAGAAAATGATGGCAAACTGATTTGTCGAAGGGACAAGGCAGTCGTTATTCAAAGGCGGAGAGAAGTGCTGGTATAAATGAAACCAAACCAAAGAATAATGACAAACGATTTCGTACCAATTTTCCCCCCAAAAAAATCACTTTGCACATCACACAATCAGTGTGTTTTAGCATTTTGTCAAAGTTGTACTTTCAACAAATCGAATAAATCAAATCTCAATTTAATCGATGTCGATTTTTCAAGTACCTGCTGCATTCAACTGATTACAATTCACTGTCTCGGTGTGTCTTTTTTCTGGTCTGTCTGTTGATCACGTTTGAATCTTTTGTTTCATTTCCATTTGCGAATTTGTTCGATTCACCATTTCGAAGTGCCATCTAATACTCTTTTTCCGTTCAGTCTCACTTGTGGGTAATTTATTTACACGAGCCATAGCACATACACCATGGCTGTTTATGTATCTATATAGACAATGAATGCTATTGTGAGCGTCGCATTCAATACACAAATCATAATTTAGCACATTTTCACCCATAAATAAATATGACGAGAAGAAAGATACAAGAAGTAAGTAAGCGAGCACGCTAGTCTAGATCAGTTAATGTAGATCATCATCGATGAGTCTTGGTTGGCATATTATATGTGCACCATGCGTCGCATTTATCCAAGAATAACACCGTTTAAAATTTGTGTCATCAATCATTATAAATAAATGGTTTAATATGCAATGGGAAAACAAAGACGTGGCATTTTCGCCATTTACACACTTTTCGTTAGAGTGGTGTGTTTCGCTACGTTTTCCTTCTTGTGGCTTAAGATTTGGACTTGAAATCGACAGTTTCTTGCTCGGAAAGATGTACAAGCCAGAAAAAATTCCATTTATTAATATGAATGTGGTGAGAGAATCATAGAAAAAAAAAACGTCAGCGAAAAAAAATAACTGGATAACAGTTGAAAAAAAGATGTGTTCCATAAAGTTGTGTCTCTTTTATTCCACACTAAGTACGTATCGGCATGATGGTGTCGAACATCAATAGAGTGAAGCGAGCCGGTGCACGGATTTGAGAGATATAAGATATGCAACACTCGACATATTACGCTGTAATCTGTCGTTGTGTAAATATTTATAATTCTAATGCGCGCGGTCTTGGGTGTTTGTCGTACGCGTTCATCATCTCCTTTTCGCTCGCTTGTTCATCATTTTTCGTGGCGCTAAGGGAAGAGCATGGCACAGTGACGGGTGGTTTATATTCCTTTTGTTTGCATATATTGCCCTCTTTTTAGTCGGCTAATGTTCTTTGCGAGTTTGGTTCCCATGTGTGATGTTTATCTAAATTTAAATGTGCCGAGGCGAACACATTCGATTCCGAGTGAACGGGAGAAATTCAAACCGAAAAGTGTTTGCAATCTAAGTCAAGTATCGTCCTTAATAGTAAGAGTCTTTTATTTAATTAAAATGCATGGATGATGACGCAGCACACACGCACACACAATTTGTATATAAAATACATTAATTTTTCGCACACAATTTAAGATTTTCATACCCGAGATGCGTGTGCGTTAGTTTTTGGCAAAGAAACAATGTTACACTCATTTCAGTTTTGTTTGTTGACCGGCTTTCAAGAAAATGTTTGATCCGTTATGGTTAAGATAGGTATTGAATTGCATCATGTTTTCTCAAGAGACTCCATTTGATGGGAATTATTACGATATAATATTTTGGTTAACACACTTCGTATATACATCATCGATAAGAGATGAGTGTGTGTGTGCTAATGAGTCTTCTGACAGGATATCGTAATTTTATTCCATTTTCCGTTTGTACATTGAGACGATGGTTGAATAATATGCGACATCTTCGATCAATTCATAGGAAGGCTATTTCAATGCTTATGTATCGGCTATTCTTCTCCAGTTTTCATATCAACTAAATGCGATATAATAGAAAATCAAAATTACGCAAAAGCTG